GTAATTTTAATTAATTTAATTAATGTTTGTATCCACTGATGAAGATTGAACTCTCAATCGAAACGTTTGGAATATAATAAAAATAAAGTTGGTACGAAGAAAAAGTACTTATTCAAAAATTAAAAAACTACAATTCTTTTTCCTTTCTGTCCAACGGTCAGTTTGAACTGTCCGGACTTTTCTTGAATCGAAATATCTCCGGAACGGTAAATTAATACCTTAAAGTGCAGTTTTCATTAGAAAGCGTTAAGATGCTTTATATCTCCGTGGTAGAGTTTCTGAATAGTCGATTTTGCGGCTCCTAGTGTAACTTACATGCACTAGTTCATAACTGTAATTTTCAGCGCATAAATACTTGTAAAAGCTTATTTCCCTTCTTGTGTGTTAAAGCTCTTTGCCCATGTTCGTTCCCTATTTATAAGCTTAAAAACGTGGTCGAAAGAAACATCAAAAATAATAGCAAGTATATTTTAAGCGTCACGCATAAGTAAATTTACCATAAGAAAAGAAAAAAAGACTTTGTCCTTCAGCTTGTTTTGAAATGAAGTCTAAATCATCCTCTTTCTATTTTCATTCTATACCAACATTGGTATAGAATAAAGATTAAAGTATCATTCAATATTCCATTAAAATGCTAGCCAACGATGAGGAAAATGATGCAGATAGTGATATTCTGTCAATGCGTGAAATGGGTTATAAACAAGAGTTATATAGAGGTGTCTCAGCACTGATGTCATTTTCATTTTGTTTCACCGCTGTTTCTGTTTTGACATCGATCTCAATTTCATTTAATTATGGTCTTAATGTCGGTGGGAGTGCCGTAATGATTTGGGGTTGGATAATTGGATTCTTTTTTACTGTGTTAATTTGCTTGTCATTAGCGGAAATTTGTTCAACGTACCCGTCGGCTGGATCAGTTTATCACTGGTGAGTATGAATTACTTACGGGTCAATCCGTATGGTACCTACCAGAGCTCCGTATACACTGAACTGAAAATTTTCTGAGTTCATGGACTCGGACTGGAATGGACTCAAACTTTCAAGACCATGGACTGATCTGGAGTCGAAAAAAGTTTTGGATTGAATCGAGGAAAAACAGGTTGTTTTTGTATTGTTGACTCGACCGGACTGCTTTTTCAGAGTCCATGGACTGAAAAAACTATTTTTTATGGACTCAGACTACACTGGACTAGACTGGACTGGACTCCGAATTTTGAGTCCATACGGTACTCTGATATCTTCCACGATATACAAGAGTATTTTCGTCAACGACAAGACCTACCTCACCGTACAGATCTCGGTGAGCTGAATCGAATGGCGAAAATTACAAACCTCTCACTGTTGCAGAAAAAGTTATTGGTATTTTAGTCTACCAGCGGAAAATTAGATTTTTCACTGTTTTCCAGCCGATTTGACCTATATCGTAAAGCATCCACTGCCTAAAGGATATAACATATAACCTGAAATGTAGTCTCAAATGAAAGATTCTGATGAGATATACAAAATCAAATGAAAAACCTTATACGACGTTAGCGGATCTTGAGAAAAATATTTCTGAAAAACCCGTTTTTCTAGAAAACCTAGTTAGCTGAAAACTGATTATGAAAGATCTTGACTATGTCATTGGATAGACCGCTGAATTCTCTATAAAATGAGATATTAGCGAAGTTTTTCCGATATTCTGCCGCTGAGCTATAGGATTTTTAAAACTATGAGTATAATTTCGTTGTAATGTTTTACCTGAATGCCAAATTTTCCCTTTGTTTCGGATTTTCCGTCTTGTTTTTTAACGGAAAGTCATAGAAGGTTTGGTTTTCCAGAAATATTTTTCTTAAGATCCGCTGATGTCGTATAATTTTTTGTCATTTGATTTTGTATATCTCGTCACGATCTTCCATTTGAGACTGCATTATAGGTTATATGTTATATCCTTTAGGCAGTGGATGCTTTACGATATAGGTCAAATCGGCTGGAAAACAGTGAAAAATCTAATTTTCCGCTGGTAGACTAAAATACCAATAACTTTTTTTCTGCAACAGTGAGAGGTTTGTGGTTTTCGCCATTCGATTCAGCTCACCGAGATCTGTACGGTGAAGTAAGTCTTGTCGCTGGCGCACAATATTGATGTAATTCGGTGACAAACACTATTGCAGGGCAGGCCAGTTGACTCCAGTTCGATATGCTCCAAGTATGTAGTGAAGTGCCACATCGTGTGTATCGTACAAAATTTATCTGTTTCTGTTTTAGTTGCTTCTTTTATGTGCGGCTGGTTTAATTTTCTTGGAAATGCGGCAGGTAACAGTCCTTCTTTTATGCATCTTTACCGTACTTTATTGAAGCGCCATCCAGTTCTTTTTACCATTTCTCAATTTTGTTTTAGTCTTTTCGAGCTTTTCGGACTCTTTATAGCATTTTCCCTCCCACACCAGAAGGGATCCGAAGAAAGACACGTCTATTTCTCGTTGCCAATCAACTGAAAATGGTCTCCTAAGCTCATAAGTATCTGTAAAATCTTATTGAGATAAAACATATGAATTTTATCTGCGACCAAATTCAAGATATCTCTAAATTTTCCACAACCTGGACATTCCTTCTCGGAATTCTCTTCATTTGTAACGAAGCGTTTGGTCGCGTGGAGCATTTTGGAAAAACAAATATGCAAAGTGGGCTTTTTGACACTTGCTGATTTACATTTTTTAATAAAATTCCCTAAAATATATAATTTTAAAGCAAAAGAATCGAAAAAATGATTTTCAACAGATCCTCGTTAAAAATGTTTTACATTTAAGGTGATGCTGCATTCTCAAGTGGGTTTGCCAGTATCTTGAATGCAGCTGTCATTTTAAACGGTGAAACAAATTCAACAACTGACCAACTGCTTGATAAAGGTGAACATCGGACAGGACTGAGTATAAATATACAAGTGGCTATTGGTATTGGTATGTTAGCTATTTGGGCATTACAGAATGTGAGTAGAACGTATGCCGTATTTCTTGTTATTTCGTAATCTTTTGTTTTAGGCTCTTCGAATTGATCAACAAGGTTGGTTGAATAATATAGCTGCTGTGCTTCAAGTATCGAGTGTAATTACAATTATCATTACAATATTGGCAATGGCTAAAAATCATGCTTCTTTACATGATATATTTTTTACAACTTATAATTCAACCGGCTTTAGTTTTGGTTATGTCTGTTGTATCGGAATTTTATTTACGTTATTTTCATTTTCCGGATATGAGGGTAAGAAACGAAACGTACCGAAAGAAAAAAGCTTTCTTTTTATTTAGACAATTGCTGACTGCCATTTTCTTGTTTTTTAGCTTCAGCACATTTATCCGAAGAAACTCGTGGAGCTGCTAAAGCAGCACCATTGGGAATAATTGGTACAACAATATGTGCTGGTATTATTGGATTTATTTATTTATTCACTCTCTTGTTTGCTATTACACCAAGTGTAAAATATTTCGTTGAGCATTCATATAACGAAAATTTAGCTGTTCAAGTCTATGAATTAAGTGTACCGAAACTCGGTGCATTAGCGTTAACAGTATTATTGTTAATTAATATTTATTTTGCTGGAGCATCATCAATAACTGTTACAAGTCGAATAGGCTTTGCAAGTAAGATTCAAACTTGTCGTTCAGAGTTTCTGTGATAAAAAGGCACTTAAAGGAAAATGCTACAAAATTGGGATGAACATTTAAAGTTCTACCAGGATTACGGGAAAAAGAATATTTTTTGATTTATGATGAAATTGTTGCTTTTTTATCTAAAATTTCTGCTGAGTTGACAAAACTATTAAATTTTTAGAATCTTTTGAAAGGAACTGCTGAGTCTTCATCAAGCATTTCGGAACCTTCAAGATCACAATTGGTCACACATAACCACATTAGAAATTTTGAAAACTGAGGTGTGTTTCCATTCTTATGTCAGTTTTCCCAGTGATGAAAAACTAATCCCGTTTAAGAATTGATCTTATGGTGGAATTAGGGAGTCATTTTTTTACCAAAATCTCCATAACTCAGTGTAAATGTTTTTTCGCTGAACAAATGTATAGAAAAACAATCTACAGCGATGAGCATACAATCAATTTTTAACCGTGAGATGCTCGTGGCAGGGCTGTTCCTAGCGGGGAGAGGCCAGACAGATGCTCCCTTCCCAGTAAGTGAAAATAATTTTTTCTCATCTGTCAAATGAAAAAAGCTTATGCGAGAAAAATTTCCAGTCGATCTTCCCATCAAGCCTAAGTATCCTGAGGACGAGCTCTGGTCCACGAAATCGTAGAAATTTTAGTTTTTATAAATATTTTTATAATTATGAGCATTATCGTTCATGTCTGATGGCGACGATTTCACGATAGAAGAAGTCGAGATAAGAAATTTTGTATGACGAAGCGTACAAAAATTACATATAATAATCTTTTGAGATTTTCAAAGCTGTCCCACAAAACGTCGATGACCTATTCTGAATGCATAGTAACTTCCAAAATCTCCCCAGGTTTTCAGTGATTCTCGCAAACTCAGCCGAATTTCTTATAAGTCTCATTTTGCCCATATGACGATTTATTGATCTGCTATACCTTAAGAATTTTGGCAAAGTTTTCATGAAATTGTGGACATTTCTGTGAAAGCACCTGCGTACCATTTTCATAACTGAACAAGGACTTTCGAAATTCCCCTAGAAGCCATCGCGCGAGAGAGACGACCTAATGCACTACAGTTTGCTCAATTATTTTCTAAAATTTAATTCTGATTTCTCCAATTTGTAGCCCTACTAAAGTTGAGTATATTCTGAAATTTTTAGCCTTTACCGGTGTTTCATTGATCGGGAATAAATTTTTTATCTCGACGCATCACTCTATTCCACAATTTTTATGACTTTTCGACCATACAAAAGGTCATAAAACGTGTGGAATAGAGTGATGTATCGAGATAAAAAATTTATTCCCAATCAACGAAACACCGCTAAAGGCTAAAAATTTCAGAATATACTCAACTTTAGTAGGGCTACACATTGGCGAAATCAGGATTAAATTTTGAAAAAACTGAACACGCTCGGTCGCTGCTATCGTGCAATGACTGGTTCCTAGTAAGAAGAAGAATTTTAACATAAATTCATGTATATTGGAAATTGTGATAGATGAAAAGGAGATCCTTAATTGTGTGGAGCCTTGATGGACTGATGTACTTATAAAATTGCTTCTTGGTTTTCTTAGTGGCTCGTGATGGAGTTTTTCCTGGTAGCCATTATTTACGTTGGATCTATCAAAGAACGTTAACACCCTTGGCCAATATTTTATTTATTTTTATTATTGATTCACTCTTCATACTATTACAATTGGCGTCTCCTAAAGCCTTTACAGCTATCTTATCAATAACAACAATTGGTTTGCAAGTTTCGTACCTGATACCAATTGTTTTACGTATAACATATGGACGACGAACATTTAAATTAGGCCAGTTTAATCTGGGTAGATACGGTGGTATTGTGACTGGAACATTGAGTTCAATATGGCTTTTTGTTACATCAATATTCATGTTCTTCCCGACAAACTATCCGGTGACAGTAGATAATATGAACTGGGCAATTGTCGTGGTTGCTGGCGTTACATTGATAGCGGCAGTTTATTGGTTGCTATCAGCCAGATATTGGTTTATAGGGCCGAAACGAACAGTGGATGATCCTCAACAGGAATTAAATAGCCTTGTTAAATAATTATAAGACAGATGACAGAAAATGGTGTCTTCATTGCGAGCAGGTTTCTAGATTTCTGAGCTATTTGAAATATATTTGGAGTTACATTGTTGACAGAACAATACTTGAGTTCTAAAAGAATCAATGATATATGGTCTTCCTACAGTACACTCTGTTCCCCCGTCTTACGATGCATCATTAAATGCTTCGCCGCGGACGTTCATTAGAGATGCGTAAGGCATATTTGACCTACCCCAGCCCAGTCTTCCCTGCAGATCGAATCAGATCCGGGACTCAAAGTCTGCACGACAGCACTAAGTCAGGCTAGGCCAGAAAAAAACCAGGACGCTAAAAGGACGCCGGACGATAAGAGCCAAAATCAGCCGCCTCCCATATCAGTCTTATGTTAACTCATCCGATGCAGCAACGATTAACCCGAACACACTTTTACACCTTAACAATCCTCTTCCGCGCATAAAAATGAGCTAGTGCGCATCATTTCAAAAGTATGCCTTCGTACATGTATTGTAGTTGACGGGTATCTCGATTTTTGTCCTATAGCGGCACAAAATGATTATAGTTTCTTCTATAGACAAAGATTTAGCATAGTTTGTATGTAGAAAGATGCAGAATCCAAAGTGCTACGGAAAGAGATATAACGTATTGTTTCATATGCAAATTTTCGCAGATTTAGGGCAAGATACCCAAGGGATCCAGTAATTTTGACCTGTTGTGGAATGGTGAATGAGATACAGTGATGTACACGAAATGGGAGCCGAAATGTTTATGATATAGAAAGATGCAGAATTTACGTGCTTCAAATTGAAACACATTAGTTGCTTTTAAAAGTATGCCGTCAACCATTTACATAGTGAATGATACATGCCAACATTTGTATTTAAGATGTCTTTGAAATAATGCGCTCTAGCTCATTTTGTATCCCGTGAAATTCTCTGTCGAACGGTACATAAGGTGGAGTGGTTAACCAGAAAATACGTCATTATTAAAAAAATGAACGACGTTGATCTACTGGTTTGCCAAAATACTACCGAGAATTCCGAACCTTAGTCACAAGAAAATGTAGCTAGGTAGTCTATCCTATATATCATTTTTTTATCCCGTGAAATTCTCTATCGAACGGTGTATAATAATTGACATTTGCTCTAAGTGAAAGAGGTGGAATGATGAAAATACTGTGCGTAAAGAGTAATTAACGAGGGAAGAGTATTTTTTGCTATAATGTTTCTGGAAGCGCGGAAAAGGATTGTTAAGGTGTAAAAATGTGTTCGGGTTAATCGCCGACAAAAACTGCATCGGATGAGTTAACATAAGACTGGTTTGAGAGGAGGCCAATTTTGGCTCTTATCGTCCCCCGTCCTTTGCGTCTTTTTTGCGAAAAACCTGGCTTTTGATTGCATTTTAGGGCATTGATAGGACAGGACGCAAAGCCTCCAACTCAGGTGCCTAACACATCTCTAATGTATTTAGCTGCATTTGCAGGAACCGTATTTCTTTGTAGCTCTTCTTCGTTACTCCTATAATAATCCATAAAATGAGACGATACAGTTTTTCGTTTTCCTATTGTGTTATTTTATCCATAGTATTAGTTCATACTAGTTCTGTTACAGTTTTTTTAATATAATACTTTTTTAAATGTTAACGCGACGGAAATTCAAAGAAATTTATTTGTGCAATATTTATACATGGTTGGATAGAGCTCGTCCAGCTGAACAAGAATATGTATGGTTCAAAGTTTTGAATTAGATCTCCAAGATGGAAAAATTTCAAGAAACTCAAAACTTTTAAATTTAAAAGAACGAGTTATTTTTAAAAACGAACATGGATCTCTGGATATTGTGTTTGAAAACGTTGAAAGCAGTTTATTCTTGTTCTACGTGAAAAACTGAATTGGAAAAATATCCTTTCGATGCAGTTCAAGTATGACATGACCTGAACAATTTTAGTTTTCACCAATAGCCAAATCCTGTTCATGTAACGGTAAAAGCGTTAAGTCTCTTTAAATTTGAGATGAAACCAAAATTTTTATATTGTTATGCTCGCCATATAGGCATGTAAAAAGTTACGCATGAGCTTTTTAAAATAGTCCTTCATTGTTGAGAGAATTAATATTTTTGTAACAGATAGTAAGAAATAAGGAAATGTACTCGCATTTTGCAGCTTTTATCGTCAAATTTGCATTCTTTTTGCACTTTGCTTATAACATTTTGCTTGCTCAAATTAAGTTTTTCCAGTGTTATTCTGTTCTAAAGTTTCACAAATAATTGAAACATGTACATTCAAATAAATAAATTCAACAATTGAATTATTATCATTTAGTCCATTAGCTATATCTCTCACATCAGTCTCATCATAACCGTTACCAAATAATATCAAGCATTTTAGAGTTTTATTCTGTTTCAATTGTTTATTGGGGGGTAATCTTTTAGATTCTTTTTTGATGACGGTGGTTTATTTCTCTTTCTTAATTTACTGAACCCTGGTAGATATTTGATTTTTCGAAAATAAGGTTACTTTGCATGTGCGTCTGCCGAACAAAATTTTCAAATTCTTGTGAAACAAAAGGTGTTATTATTTCGCTTTTCATTTTTCTCTGTTCATTGGTGTTAACTAGTTGATTAGATCGGACTCGAAAGACAAAAACTCAAGTCCGAGTGCGAGTCCGTCAAAAATTCTTCCAATCCGGACTCGCCCATGTCTAGCTTCTTGGTTATCGCTTTTGCCAAACTTGTTGCATTCGGATAAGTTCCAAGTCTGTCTTTAAGATAGCTGAACAACCAAAAGTCTGATGGAGTAAGGTTAGGCGAGTATGTTGGATGAGCCATAAGTTTGATTTTTTTTCTTGGAGATAATTAATAAAGACATCTGTTATATGTGGTCTTGCATTGTCATGATGAAGCTTGATACCGCTTGTGCCTGATGATGATCAGTTTTTCAATAACCTGTTTAACAACTATTTCAAACATTCACCACGATAATAGGTAGCATCAATAGATACTCCACAAGGAACTTGATGAATAAGTAATGGTTTGGTTGTCATAAAAAAGTAACAAACATTGTTTTTTTTCAAAGCGTTGTCTTCTAACGATAGTTGGAGAATTTGTAATCAACTAAATCAACTAGTTTTGTTTAATAGTTTCTATGCATTTGAAATGAAATATTTATCCATGATATTATTCAGATCCTGTTTTTATTCATCTTAAACAGAATGATAGCAGCAACATTTATTATCTGTATTTATATGAAAAGTTGAATCTACTTGTCAGGTTCCGTGATACAGGCTCCTTTTTACATCAAAAAGCACACTTCCGCTGCGAATGCGAAAATGTCCTTTCTTTGATCGTCATTTTGTCCATGTCAAACTGATTTACGTTGCAGAATCACAATTAGGACTGGATATGTTGTGTCAAAAGAGAATGACAATGAGAGTTGTTTTATCTACTACTTGTCGTACATATTAACGATTATCCTTAAATTCTTTTTGTAAATGTGTTCTAAGAGCTCTTTTGAAATGTCTCACAGTATGACAAGACACCACACTCTCTGGTAAAGTGTTCCACCCAGTTACAGTGACTGTCTTAACTTGGCGCGTGTTCTGTCTATCAGAGTTAAGACGACTTGACCGGCGTTCCTCTAAAGGTAGAATGAGTGGACGCAGAAGATTGAAAAGTGACGATAATTATTTTAAATCCTAAAGTTTTAACTTATCGATTAACTCACTAACTGAGCCGCTAAATTTTTACAAATAAGTCTTGCTGCTAACCTTTCACCTCATCAAGAACAGAACTATACAACTGGCTATCATAAGCCACACTACAGTAATCTAATTTACTCAAGATATAGGACTTATAAATTCACAAAGTCGACGCGCACAGATAAGAATTATGTCACTGATATGCGCTCCTCATGTTTACCGCAAGTATACCTCGATAAAAATGATTCAGCCCCACTTGAACATTTAAAACTCGTTGTAACAAAAGATACAAATAAACAACAGTTTTTAAAAGATATGTAGGAAACAAATAAAGCAATTTTTGTGTTTTCTACGCTTTTATCCTTTTTTCTTATTATACGACAGAAAAATAAAATAGAAATTTGATGTGTATTTTGTGCCATATAAAGAAAAAGTTTGGTTTTTTTAACTGTATTTTCAGTTTTGTAAAAAAATGGATGTGTTTTGTTTGCAGATTTGTGAGCCAGTGGACTGAAGGAAAAAAATGGAATAAACATAATTACTAACAAAAAAGTTGGAGAAAATGGGCTTGCTTCGAAGAAATAGCGAAAACCGGGAAGTCTTAGAGGGATATAATACAAGACTCCCCTAGAAACGTTGAACGATCGGACAGAATAGAAGACCCCGGATCTTCTAATGTGTCCACCCCTTTAGTTTATTTATATTGCTTAACTAAACGTTTCGATTAATGAAAATCTTCATCAGTAGGTGACAATATAGAACAACATGCTATAGAACAAACAAAGATTAGAACAACTAAAATCTAACTTAGTAACAACACTTTAAAGTTATACCATAGAAAACGAATTATTCCTTATTTAATTTTTAATAAAATTTAGAATAGTGAACTTTTTCTTTGATTCTCAGATTATATCTGGGATTTTCTGTTCTTAACACTGTATTCTTAACTTTCTCCTTATTCTCCTTTTTACTTTGGCTCTCTCCTTCCTTAACATTCTCGTTTTTATGTTTCTTGCTATAAATATCAAAATAATAACTTCAAAATATTCTCTTTCCGTAACTTGTGTCCTCCTTCGAACAGTCATTATTCTCTAAAACATCTCCTAATATTCACATAGCTTTACCTTTATCGATCGATGTAAACAAATCTACAATATCTAAACTGGCTAGTGTTCTATTTTTATTCGCCTCAATTTTACTTAATTTCGAAATAAAATCATTTGTGTTCTTAATAGATCTAATTTTATTGCTATTTTTAGTTAAAGTTCTTGTCATAAACTTTGCTAGTTCTGAACCAATAGTATTTCTC